AAAAAAATAACATCATGACATAGATAAAAAAAAACATTATTCACAGATCACAATCGATAACAAGAGTCCATGCATGCTTTTTTTCAGCATCGATATGAATGTGATCAATGTAGCACTAGCATTTTTTATACAGTGACATAAAACTACTTTTCAATATATGATATGATATGATATGTGATATGATATGATATGATATATGATATGATATATGATATGATATATGATAAGATATATGATATATATGATAAGATATATGATATGATATGATAAGACATTACTACAAGACTAAAACAGATCTAAAATACAAAAAACAAACAAAGCAAAATAGGAAAGGATATACTTGTCACAACTGGAGAGAATTTCAATGAATAGATCATCAATAACTTAAATTTTGAAAAAGTGGCTCATAAATAAAGAGAGCTAAGAGAAATTTCTGTCTACACTCCTAGATAATGCTATATTGACAATGAAATATACGCCATGCTGCTACAATCAAGAAATTGTTGTCTTCATAAATGCCATAAACACCTAAAATCTACAAAATTCTTAGCCTCGAAATATTAAACAATCCACAGTATATCTACCAGCAATGAAATTCATTTGAATAGAAGAGCATGATATCTGCTCTTACCTGTTTACTTTGTACTTGTAATTTATTCCATTGTCGTAGTGGGTTGGATAAGCTGAATGACCGAACTGCTGACTGTTGGAGGCCGAGCCTACCCAAGTGGAGTGCAAACATAGTGTAATCTTCCTGAAATAGGACAGCAAAGAACTAGACATAAACATTTGGATTGTTATACAACTAATATCACCATGCAGGCTGGGTCAAAAGAAAATATAAAATGATTAAAACAAATGCAAACAAACAAATTTTTATTTTAATATGTTACTGATATCATTGAAATTTGTATGGTACATGTTTGTTTGTGTGCATTCACATAAGCCACCCATGTACAGTTGTAGTATCACAATTCTATAAAATGGTACACATCATGATGTGAATGAAAACATCTTCACCACTATTATACTGGTCTGGTTCATCGCAACAACCATTTGCACACCCTCCATCCTATTATTAATTATTCTGCACTGTCATGACATGTAATTGGAAATGATTCCCAGAATAAGAAAGCAGAAACAACAGTTTTGTGATCTACTGCAAAATACAATAAGAAACAAGGTAGAGACATGTTCTTCTCTTGGTTATTGAAAAAATTGATAGCCTATTAATGTACATAATATTTTGCTTATCACCCCCTTACCCAACCCCAATCATGCATTGTGAAAATTAATTTTAAGCATTGACCATCATAGATTTTACACATCTCTAATATCAGTTTTAATCTGGAACATAAAAGTATACCAGAGCTATAGTTTACAGTCAACATCATACTCTTGG